CGAGTTTAAAAAATGTGAGCTGGCTGGAAGCCTTCATCCCTTGTCTTATTTCTTACACCAGATACCAGCCGATACCCCCCCCCCCCCTGCTCATAGAGACTGCGTATTACAGTTGATTATAGTTCCTGGGCTCCCTGTGATTTTTACTCAATAACATACATACATTATTTGCTAAAAAATACACTCAGTCAATGTTATTTTCAGCCACGGATACTCTTTTTTAGTAACCGTGTTTCAGCAGTGTGAGTCACTCAAATTATCGAGAATAACATTTTTGAACTTGAATTGAGAAATTCTCAAACGCAAGTTATTTGATCACTCTACAGATAAAAATGTCAGAGCGCCGTGGAAGTGACTGAAATTACTTTCTCACGAACGTACCACACCTATCCACAAACCAACTCACAGCGTAGAATGCGCTGCAGCGACCCCGGCTGCGACGTTTCAGTGGCGGCTTTGCCGTACATTTTTGCTTCATATAATGGATGACAATTTATTTGCAGAAATGTTTTCAAGTATCGATAAATTTATCTATTCAGGCTTAGCCAAATTTGCTTTTTTAGTTTAGTTTATTTTAGTTTAGTAGTTATGTAATTTTTTTCTCTCTTGTTCTTGGTCATGACATTTTATATGTTCCCGTACCAAATAAAATTTATCTTATCTTATAAAAAATACCATGACCATCAAAACAGAGTATCTTACTCAATATTCATTCTGGCACATTCACTGTCTATTTCGGATGGCTAAAGTTCCTTCAAAACCTTGAAAGCAACCCCGAAAACAGCGGCCGGGGCAGCACCAGTCTAGCGAACGACAATTTGCTATGCGCAGTAGTTTCAGTGACGTCATCCATGTGATATACCCATGTAATATCCACTTGGCGGGCAATATACCATGTAATATTTATTCAATGTCATGTGACCGAATCTCAACCAATCACAGCATGCGTAACAAAAGTGAGATGTGATAAATTTCAATATTCAACAAAACTGTTTACATAACACGTGAATCAGAGTGTCTGTAATTGTTATTAACAATCAAGCAGTGTTATTGTTAGTGCATGTATGCCCAAGTTTGACATATTTAGTTGTACAAGATTGTTTCAAATTCAGCCTAGACGCAAATACCTACAAGTCTTGACGTATCACCATTCGGATACGACTCACTAGTCGCAAAGATTCTAGAAAACAGAAATACTTGACTTCAGACAATTCTTAGCACTAATTTTTATTTGGATAACATTTGAAATTTCAACATGCATGTAATTGGTCAGAATAGATTAAACCAAAATGACCACCACTTGGCCATTTTGCATTCGATCGGGAGAAAATGTTGTGCGTCAATTAATATTACGCTCAATGTATCGACCATATTTAAATGAAATTTGTGCATGCACAACTGCGATTTGGTTCCAGAATGGCAGAAATGCTTGATTTTGATGCATTTTAAACATTAAAATGGCAACCATTCAAACATCATGAATTGGATCATGAAACGAACGGATATTGCACCACAAGTATTGTGTATCCATTTTGTTCTCTATAAAATGTATACTATCAGTTTTCAACTACATCCATGTTTATTTGTTGTTCGCAAGTCGTACAGATTGCAGCGTAACTCGAAGTTTGGTTAATTGTTAATTGAACATAGTTACAATTCAGACAAGGTCTGGCACAAGTGGGCGTGGTCATTTTTGTAACTTTGATGTCTGTAACTCAACAATTCAAAATCTCCATTACATGCCACTATATATATGCAGACATAATTTAGACATTTAACTATAATGAATCCGAAAATTGATATGTTGAATTGAGTGAATAGGACTGCTCTAGAATATGAATGGTCAAAGAGTAAAGCAGTCACGACATTGATATTGGAGCATGGTTATCTTTTGCAAGTACCGACAACCTCCAGCTCACTACGTGCCCATTAATACTGAATGAGGGAGTTTATTATGGCGAATCTACTGAATTCTCAATAAACAACGTCAACTCTCAAGAATGGATTTCAGAAAATATTTATTATTGTCTGTTAACACTAAAAGTATAACATTTTTAAATCACGGAAATATATTTGAAATAAATTTTTTTTTTTTTCAAATTTGAGACAGAAAGTTTTGTACACAAGAAAAATAGGAAACCGGGTTTTCTTTTGAATGTTAGAGAAAACAAGATTGAACATATGTACATTGTGTTAAAAGGGTGTCCCATTACCACAAGATGACCACATCGCCCCCTTAAACTAAATAGTTTATCTCAAATGATTGTGGAGCAACCACTATTGTATATAAAAACAGAGTACTGAACAAGCAGGAAAAATGAGTCTGTACAATTATGGCAAGAAACAATCAAACCAGAATTGCATTTTTTGAATCTTTATCACCAGTCACATGAAATGAACAGCAAAAAAAAAAAAACAATTGAAAAATTTGACACACTGAAATCCAAAGATGAATAAAATAAAATCAGAGTACAAATTGGTACAATATTATTGTAATACTTGATAACCCCATAAAGTTTTTGCCTGCAAGAGATTTTAGTATGGAATGGTTCAGCACCTCTCTCTCTCTCATAAAAGCAGCTGCACAGGTTAAATGCATCAGAGAGGGGTGAATGGCAAAGTGGGACGTCTTTCATTTTTTGTCAACCAAAAATGATTTATTTAAAAAAAATTTTTTTTGTGTGCATTCAGCAACATGATTTTACTACGTGACATCCCTAAGCAGTAAAAAAGAACTATGGTAGATTTAGAGGGGCAAGGTCACTCACGCCTTCTAAACTTGTGGTTATATCCCACAATGCAATGCATCAATGAAGTCATTGTCTCTAACTGAACATCCTGTATTCACAGGATGCAGCAAAATAAATTTTTGCACGAGACTTGCATCCTGACATCACATCCTGTTTACTGCAGAGTATTATGGGTATCCATTCACTGTGACCACTGCCTCGAAGACGATTAATTTCAATCCCATTTCAACAGTATCAAAGTTATATCGCACCCATAATGCACTGCTGTACACAGGATATGACATCGTTACAACTGAGCAAGGTGGCAAAGTTTTATAAATGTACAACTTGACATTATTAGAAATATAATTTGTGACAGTGACAGAGACAAATGGGAATGTTAGAAAAGGGAATTGAAGGTAGATTCCACAGTATGGTGAATTTGTTCCTGGTTTGATGTGGTCAGTGCCAGTGAATTCAAACGCAGGATATATTGACAGTGACGAACTTGATTGAATTGGGTTGAAGGCAGCAGGCAAGTCAACACCTGATATAGGACAAAGTTTTAATAGTATCATGGACAATACACATGAACCGAGTCACAACCATTAAAAATCTAAACTTCGGCATTGATTATACACCCAATATTTTTCTATTTAAAAAAAAAAAGCCCCAAAAATTACAACACTCAAATAATATTATAATTGTAACATATGAAATTTAGGCCATAAAATTGGCAATACCCACTGCAGATAAAAGATATATTAAAATATTGAAGACAAGGCAACATTTGCTCTATTAGTAGTGCACAACTTGTTTAAGTGATAGAGGTGTGTCTATGGTCAAAATATATCATCCAACGTACAATAAATGCAATTTTTGGTTTACATGTGCTTCTATTAGAGCAAATACAGCATTGATTTTACCCAGATTGTACATCTCATTGTTTTGCGCGAAACTCATGGGTGGCACTAACTGGTGGCAATAACTCGGATTAGTTAACGAACTGACTAAATAAATAAATTGGGTAGCGAATTCTTTTTTGTTGTGAAAAATAAATAACATGTAAAATGGTAATGTTAATCATTCTTCAACAACCCATTGCAGCTTGAAATTTTGGATTATAATCTATGAGCAATACTCTGGTTTGAAATTAATTTGGAATGAAATGAAAACAAGGAATTATATTGAAAGTCAACAACCACTTAAATCACTTAAAGCGGGGGAGTCGTTACCGATACCTGCGCATGCGTCAGATGGCCATAGCCTGTCAATGTTTACAAACAAGCATCTACTCATGAGCCTTTGCGCTTTTAGGGTGTGTTTATTATCGTTTGGGACTAAATTCCCACGCATGTGCAGGTGACCACCCTCCTGCTTTAATTACTAGGATCCTAATTGAGAATTTAAACAATACAGTCGTGGTGTAAAATGTATTCCACATACACTGTATACGCTTGTGTGGGATGTCATTCCAAATCAGGAATTGTGATGACTGTCAAGCTTTGCATCATGACATCAAAATTTCTTAGAAAATAAATGTAATGAAACCAAGACAACTCCAATTCAGTAAAACAGTCCAGTTCAATGCATATATTGTTAAAGCTGAACTCTGAGAATTATCAGTTCATAAAAATCCTTCAAATGAAATCACATACCAAACCAAGAGTTGGCCGAGGTCTGGAACAAATGACTAATTTTCACAGTGAACATGCAGCACTGACATCAAGCAAGTCTTCAGACCCATTTACATTCATTTGTCATTTTCATGTTAAAGTATTATCCCCTACGAGTTAACAATTCTCACATGTAGGAACAATTTTCTGTTTTCTCAAGATATTAAGGGATTACAAAGGGATTACAAAGCAAGGAATAACTAGGTCGGTCTAGTTTTTTTCTATTTAAAAAAAAGGTGCAGAATAACATTAAAATGGTCTAATTATAATAACACTGAACAATATAATGTTACTTAAATATTTTATCAATATACCCGCACACACAACTATGCGTATCAGAACTACTTGATTTAACTACATTTATATATACTGCCAGTTTCAAGTGTTGCTGTGTGTTCTAACGATCCATCTGAGATGCAAAATCTGGGTAAAAATACATTTTTTTTTTATAATAAATTTGTTTACAAGATATTATACAAGTAGAGATTATTGCCCAATAGTCTTTGATGTTTTTAGGATTGTGTTAGTTTGATTAATGAGTCGGTTGGCACTCATGTATACATACTCAGCTTTGCTATCTTTGAAGTAAACTTTGAGTGTGTCACTGAAGCTCTTTGAATACTTGACAAACTCCTTCTTCTGGTATTCCAACATCTGCTGAAACAGAACAAAATGCAATTTTCAAAAGGATTAGACTTGTAGAACTGTGATGGGGAGGGGAGGGGGGGGGCACATACTGGCAATGTTCAGACATATACATGTACATACCGGTATATACACATGGTGATTATAATGTAATGGCTTGTATTTAGGTGTGAGAAACGTAGGAACCTACAAACTAATGATGACCCTGGAAGCGTGTGAGGTGGGAAGTGGCAGGGGGTTTGGGTTACTAGTAAATTTTAATCCAAAATTTTTTTTTTAACCCTACCAAAATAATGTTTTTTTTTTTTTGTTCTCTGACAAATCATACTGCATTCAAATTTAGCTTAAGGTAGAAGCCTAATGATAAATTATGCAAATACCCAGCATTAATTTATTTATTTTGCAATAAATTATACTCCTGGGCAATATAAGGATATTGACTTAAAAATTAAGCTGGTGACCCCCAACTTTTTTTGAGAAAAAGATGTATTTTGTATTTTAGTAGATAGATGGCAGGGATATTATGCCATATCTCAATTTGTAAGCTGTTGAAATAGGCTGAAAAAATCATATATTGTGACTTTTTGTTGTCCTAAATTATTTCGATAATTGGGGTTTTGAAAAATATTAGAACGTGCTTCTCAAAATGTTACTGCAACACACAAAAAAAAAATGTTATTATATGGTGCCATGGGACAACAGCTCCATGATGATTTTACATAATAAACCAATGAACATTGTCATGCGATTTATAACAACTTTCCCCAAAATTATGAGTATGCTTCTACCTTAACTGTAGCAGGTGTATGGAAGTACTGACACAGTGCATTTTGCCACAGAAGTCATATTCATGTTTGGGACTACACGGCAGGGCCGTGTGGCCATATCTCTATCAAATGGCAATTTTAATGTGCTATCCTGGCATCAACCAGGGCTGGTCGAACACAAGCGCCTGTGGACCTTAACCAAGGTTCTTCCAAACTCTAGCTCTAGCATCACTACCATGAATTTCCATCCTTCCCCCCATACATGAAAACATAGTAGTTTCTTGATGATGTACAAGCATTACACGGAGTGCGATATTCCCCTCGAGTCAAGTTTGAATAGGCCCTGCCCACTAGTCTTGATCAATATCTATGGTACTGGACAATACATGTATGGGTGACAATTGACGACATATTACTAAAAAATAAAAGTAAATATTTTAAAAAGACACTTCACACAAATAAAAGATTTCTAAAACGCATAAATGATGCTACATTTGAGAAAATAATTTAATTATCACTACATGTATATTATAATTACATTAATATTCATACAAATTTCAAAGGAATCTAATAAATCAGAGATCAGTCATTTGAGTAGAAGGGGTATATAGTGCAGGTGAAAATATGACTGCAATACTGTAAATGGTACAAGTACATTGGGACATCTTAAAAATATTACACAAAATATTTGATGCTTTTGAACAAATTGCAGCAAATATGAAATATATATTGATTTTCAGTGTGTCCAAAATGGTTGGTGATTATTTGTGCATGCCATTTTATCCAATTTCATTTGCAACGATTTGGATTCACAACGATTCATCTTCATTCAAAAAATCTGATGTCAGAGTGTACCTTAAATATAACAATGTTTGTATAAACATTGATTTAGGTCTGTCACTATTTGCCTAAAAGATTAAATTAACAAAGAATGAAGCAAATGTTATACCATGGTTTGCAGTCACACTAAGATAAACATTTTTGGATGTTTTGCAAAATAAGTCTGAAACAGGAGTCTCACAGCTGTTTATTTTGTGTTTTAATATTAAGATGCGAGACATGACTGCTTGCACCATGAATTTTTTTTCTTTGTTTTTTCCAACTAAATAAACTAAATACCTAGTTGCTTTCTCAGCTATTGAAGGCTTCAGATCAAATCAATAGAGCTTCCATTGTATATGAAAGTTAGACTACTTTTAATATGAATCACTATGCAACTCACACGTTTGACATCTGTCATGAAAATAATGAGATAGTATTGTTGAAACAAAAAACATATTTATGTGAGTAAATCAAAACTAAATATGTTTGACTTGAGGAAATTTAAAATTATTTTTAATTATAAACAAAATGTTAATTATCAAACAAAGGTGAATCTGCAGAAGTATTGCTGAAAGGGTGGTCGCACAAGACAGGTGGTCTTCATACACAGGTTGCTCATAGGTTATGCCTGGGGCGACCTAAAAGTGTTCATTATAGGTAGGTGGTCTTTATATACAGGTGTATACAGGTTTGACTGTAACTGAATTGATTATTGAATGTATTAGGGACACTCACTCAGAAATATTTATTGATTAGTAACAATTTAGGATGAAAACTGCACGCAGGATTTAGTATGAAAAATACAAAAAAAGAGAACTATTTATCTCTGCACACCACCTTGTTTTATTACTGTCAAATGACTGATCTCACATTTATCATTAGTTACAACATGAACATACATTTTGTATTAATCACACATATGCTATATACATGCATGGAATACTGAATTAAAAATGAAATATTTAAAAACATGAGATGATTAGGTTTAGTATAATCCTAAGCTTATAATACACATATTATACACACAGAATACTAGTTATGTAGGCCCCACAGACAAAGTGCTGCTAATATGTACAAATCTTGTTAGAAACAGCTGCTCAACTAAGAGAACTATTTCACTCATGTCATTCAGAGTATGTACGTCATATAAATGAGATTATTCAACGCAACACATCAACCCCTTGAGTGCCATACATTTTGTTGTAACATTTTACCTGTTTCTATGTAGTTTCCATTTTTTTTTTATTGATTCTGCACCAAATGGACAAGTGGCACCAAATAGCTACAAGTCTTAATCCAAATTTTGAAAAAAATTATATAAAAATCAGTTGGTTTAGTAACATTTGTGATGGTTAAAAAAAAAGAAGACTTTTTACACTCAAAGTGTTAAAGGGCGGCAGTCGTTGTGTCGCGTCCTGTTCAATATGGGACTCATAGCGATGTATACAACGTATGTAAAATACATCGTTTATTTACATGAAATTCGAACACACGCGCTGTGCGACGACTACCACGCTTTAAATAAACAGAAAGTTTTTCAAATCTAATTTTATAGATTTGGTGCTGTGTTTTTGATTACCGGGTAATCAGGTTTGTAAGGGAAACACGTGATGTGATGTGCGTGAGCAGACTTATATACATAAATGTATATATAGCAGATATACAAACACTGGATGGTTGCCAACAGATCCCACAGCGACCTCAAACAGGGGCTATATATGCGCAATTGCAGCAGCATACAGTTATGTATTCATTTTTTTCTCACATGTATACGTATTGCAAGAAGAAAGACTAAAGATAAAACACGATGTGAAAACGCAGCCAGAAACCCACTTACCAGCTGAACATGTGAAGCCACACAGTAGCAGTAGACAGTGAGTGAATTAAACAGGAAAAGGAAAGGAAAGCATTAGTCACAAATAAAGCGTATTTTTTTTTTTTCTTTTTCCATTTGTAGTTCAGTATTGGTTATAGAGTTAGTGAAATTATGCAGGTCAATCAACATTCACGGATGATAAAGCAAGCAAAGCAGGTATAATTATCTCCAGCTGGCTTACAAACTGAGTTATGCACTGAAAAAAAGAAGCATTTTTTATTATTATTAAAATGCGATGCTACAATTTGCAGTCAAACATTCACTGACCCACGCCAGCATCAGTTTGCAAGCAGTTTAACTAGTCTGTCTCATTCCCCCAGTGATAAAAAGATGGGGGAGGTTGTCAAACTGACTGACTGTCTGTCTGTGGGTATTATGTCACAAGTGTGGTCATACATACTGGTGTCAATCACAAACAGATATATTAATACTGGACGACAGTTATGTTCATACACACTGTATACACATTGTACACAAGAGTCATCGTATCATTTTGGAGAAATTCTGACATTAACAATGAGATATGCACCTTTATAATGACAATTATTAAATGGGCTTATAGAATATAAATAATATACATGATACTCAAGACATGTAATTTTATATTCAGAAAGCTGGATATGACTAAACCATTTTAATTAAAGAATAATTTGGTTGGACTAAATCTCCCACACACATCTTAGTACGCATACCAATCAGATCTTGATAAGATTACAACTGTTCGTGCCAAATACATAACATCTACAAGCACATGCCAATGTGCAATAAAACATAGACAGGATCATATTTTAAGTTATTTTAATTAAAGAATAATTTGGTTGGAATAAGGTTGTATTGGTTATCTAAAAACAACAAACAATCAATGAATCAATTCAAAATTGAAGATGCCGTTCAGAGTAACATAAATTCAGGAGTATATGTAGTTGAAAAGTTGCATTGAAGCCATTTCAAATTGAATTTCTTGTTGAGTGCCGAGAAATAAAACAGAAATCACCCCGTCAGTACAAAAACCACCATACTATTTTCAAATGGAATTAACACCTAAGAAATTCATATTTTTAATTTTTAGTCAAAATTTATGTATCAAAAACTGTGTGGAGAAATTCCTTGTATAGATGGATGTTTGTTTGCAGACCTTATGAATTAAGCGTGACCTGTACAGTTATATAAATACTGTAGAATACTTTATTTTCGCTTGGAATTTATTTTCGCTATTTTCGCTGAAAGGATGATTCCGTGAAAATAAAATCCAGCGAATATACTTTTTTTTCCTATATTTCATATTAAACTCATCAAAAATTAGTGAAAATAAATTCCATACGAAACGCCCAAAAAGCCTTTTCAGCGAAAATTAATTCCAGCGAAAATAAAGTATTCCACAGTAAGTCCTAAAAATTGACATCTTTTAAAAAAAGAATAGCATTCTTGACCAGTTTGTGCATGTTCTACTGAAAATAGAAATTCAAAATTTCACAGCAAAATAGCATGGATGTGTGTACATGTATATAAGTAAATCAAGTTTTAATCAAAAAGTGCATCTCATTCTTAACATGCTACATTGTATATGTGTTATACATATTGATATGTACATCATAAAGTGTGCATCACATTTCATGTACATTACAACAAGTAGTTCTACATACATTATACACAGACTCAACATTACATGCCCATTATCTCAAAGTCTGAATTGTATGAGTGGCACTGCAATGGACAGCTCTTTTAATCAATGCCACGAGATACGATGGAAATCTTTCAAAGACTTACAGAATAAAAATCTATTCCCCTGATATGAAGTGTGTGGGAATGTTCATATTCTTAGAAGTCCTACAAATACCAATCTCTTTATCACGACACATACAAAAGACATTCTGTATAACTGACATCCTGTTACAGAAAAAGAGATCGAAATCTACCACAATTTTTTTCCCCAAACTTCAAAGAAATTGACATAATTTGAGAGAATAGTACAGACTGTAAACAAAATTTGCATGGTAAGAGCCACTGATAATACAGCACACACATACATGACACATTACATGTACATTCATAACCTTGCCACACCCAATGAGCAAAGCGATAAAATACACAGACCCAACACATTTGTCAGTTGACTGACAGTTCTAAAACCATGCATCCCAGAATACATGCATTACACATGTATTTAATACAAGCAATGCGTCATACAGGTGCTGGCAATCAACTAACACGTATTCATACTAAAAGTGACCCCCCTCGCCCTATATTGCTGATATTACTTCCCTTATCTTCAATACCATCCGTATCTACAAACAATCATGACACGTCTCCAAACAAAACGCACTTAAAATGCCACAGTCTCTAACGCAGATGGTTAGTCAATATAGCCCTAACATTACGTATTAACACATCGACTGCTGATGCCGATTTTTCCGATTTTTTTAGAATATCGATGGAGGCTTTCAGCAGGTGTTGGTGTTAACCATCAATTGACGATGACTTTGGGAAGTCAGTTACGGAGCTGGTCAACAAAGATACTGCTACATGTAACAATTTTATCATCTCAAAATATAGTTCTTTCAATATCTTTTCTCAGTGTGAGGCTTGATAGTTAATTTCTACACAAATTGATAGCAAGTTCTCTAGAAACACAAGGGGAAAATCTCCCACACACATCTAGTATATACGCATACCAATCAGATCTTGGTAAGATTACAACTGTTCGTGCCAAATACATAACATCTACAAGCACATGCCAATGTGCAATAAAACATAGACAGGATCATATTTTAAGTCAAATTAAAAGCATTAACAGTAGGCAGTTCAGAAGAAAAAACACCTACCTTCTTATGTTCATTGAGCTGAAATGCATGGTGTTTTTTAAAAACTTCATTTACTGAATCAAGAAGATCCTTAATAGCACTGGCAATATCTCTGCAGAGGTAAAATATGTAATAATGAAGTTCATGGAAAAACAACTCAGCTACATGTATATGTGATACGACTAAGGTGTATGGCCCACCATGAGGTTGTGTATATCCAATAGTGCCACTGTGAAATTATTATTCAAACCAATCTGCGTTGAATGCATTTTAATATAACCCTTTGCCATAACAGCCAGACAGCTGACAAAACACTGCCTGACATAACAGAGTATGCATCAGGATTATTTTTTGCAGTTATTCAAGTCCCTAACAACATAGTGGGATGTGATCTGTGAAATTCTGGTGAGTTTCATATGTCAGCTTCACTAGTTCAGATGAATGCCAAACATTCTCACTATTCTTACACTGCAGTGTATTTTCACCACCAGACTTTCATGCACAAATTTGTCTGCACTTTTTCTTTCAGACTAAACCAAACTATTTTGTGAGTTTGTGATGAAAAATGAGTGGTGAAAAGATCAATGTTCGCTGAGAAAATACAACTACACATCCATGGAATGACCAATAAATTTCATTAAAGTAATTGGCAGTAATTGTGCTACGAATAAATCAACCTGCAGTATAAAGGTTTATGATGAAATAAATACTTTTAAGACTGGATGCTAATAAGGATAAAGATATTTTATTTTATAATGTAAATATTTCACCCATACTTACTTTATGGTTTGTAGAAATTTGGACCTGTCATTTATTTCATCAGGTATTTTACTCAAAATCATTTTGAGAGATCGGGCTCTTTGGTTGAGTTTCTTGAATTCTGGTTCTGGTCTTGTGAGAGTGTATTCTGTGGGAAAGTAAAGAAAGAAAGTTTATCTGATTGAATTAATTGCAGGACACATCACCATAATCAAATATGGCAAAGAGGAGTATTCTCACTGGGGTAGGATCTCAGAAAATTGTCTCAGTAATTTGGAAATTTAGATTAAGTGAAATCGATGGCTGTATAATTAATAAAAAAAGAGATTTTTGATGCATACTGAGCTTTGAGTCCAGTACAAAATGTAAAAACTATAAACCACTTTCAGAGAAAATTTGCAGCAGTGACCAAAAGATTCAGAACTCTGGAGAATGTTCGTAATCATCATGAAGTGCTTACCATGCAAGCATGTCACATCGTTACATAAGGATAAATGTGTATGTACTGCCAGGGTCACTATTAATTCATGCTTCAGATTCATTAAAAAATAAAATACTAGTAGGGTAAAATGTAAAATAATGAAAATAATTTAAATTTGTATCCTTATAATTCATGCTCTAACTTTTTATGCAAAAAACATAGCAAGGAAGTCATTAACAAGCATTTGCTTTAAAGCAAAGATTAAAGATCAAATAATTTTTCTCTGTCAACATGGATAGAATTAGTATCGCTTGGATGACTCCGGCTTCATGTTTTTCGAAAGGTTGAAAGTTCATTGCCGCAATATACATGTACGGATAGCTGCCTCGACTCTTTCAGTAACAAGCTTGCACGATCGATGAAGCTCTTGGTTACATATTTTTAATTTCTAATTGCATGTAAATTAATCTAACAATGAACTTGCAATTTTTTATTTTTTGGGAGTACATAGCTATTTGAATATCCAACATCGGCACAACTTGAGTGTCAGTGTTATTTTTTTGGCAGATTTCTACAAAGCTCCATTGGAATGACACGGCTGTGTGTGTGAAATTCTCATCAAACCTGGCATCATCCATGGGCAATCTTTTGTGATGAATGATGTTTCAGCTATTAAAATACAGTTATAATACACTAGACCAGTGCTACTACCAGTAACATTGCAATTACACATGAACAGGATATGATTTATAGTTTCATATTTCGGAGTACAGTCATCGATATCACCATTGAGAAAAACAGATATGCTTATTTTAAATATTGTTACTGAACCAATGCTGAATCCTATTATCAAACATACATAGTGCTTGCTGGCCCTCTAGATTGCATCCATTTTGGTAGATTGCATTCATTTTGGTCACCATGGCGATTAAATTTAGCGTATGGCAATTAACTCTTATCTGGCCAAGTCAAAGTACATGGGGCTGACAGAATAAGGGTTAAATAAAATATCTAGGTCACCATTATAAATGCCACGAATAACTCCAGTGTTGTGGTTATTCGCAGAACCCACAATCAAGTCAATGTGAAGCTAATTCATACAAGGTGGTTTGTAATGAAAAATGACTCAGTATTTGGTTGTAAATGGGGGTGAGGTGGTAGTGGTTTCGTAATCGATACAATGTACATGGGGGGTCTGTTAGTGCTATGTGTATAATTTTCATTACAAGCGGTGACTGTTGTCATAGTAATGATGTACTGTTCAACAAAGTTACTTGTACTGTACTTTATACTTATAGCATTTAACCCTTACACGTATATATGTTTGTGTTTTGAAGGTCTTTCAAAAGAAACATAGCTCTTCTGTGTCAATAAAAATCCTAATATTTGAAAATAACAAATTTAATAACACAAAATATACCAGAAATGACTAAAATACCACAACAGAGACTAAAGACCGAAACAAAAGAAGAGCAATGGACCCACAGCTAGTGTAGAGTGTAAAACCGACAGTTGTTGCTCCATTTGATAAATATCAGTCGTGAAGCTGCTGATTCCTTTGAATGCACATCTGACTGCTTTTGTTTTGACGTGTACTGGTAGTCGCATACCATGTGCTGTGTTTTGAAAAAAAGAGTCAGATATGCAAGAGCAGATTTTGAGGAATGGGAGAATCATTCTTACAGCTTTACCAAAAATATGTTTTTCAGAGAGTATATTTTGTCAATACAATTCATTGCAATGATCTAGCAGATGATGCAGTATGAATTACTGTTTGACAAATTACATTGCTGCAATATAATTTTCAATGCATCTACATTGTAACACAACATACAGATATGTAAAATGGTATAACTGAATCATGATATATTTGAACAAGCAGCCTCTCGGCTGAGATAGCTCTGCTGTTAGCAATGCACATTTTAATTAAAGAACTGAAGAAAATGAACAAATATGAGAGAGGTCTATCTGAAATACCTACATGTATAACATCAAAGCAATCAGACAGGTTTTTAACAAGAATTCAAATATATTCATTAAAATTAGATAATTGAAGATATCATCATAAAATGAACAAATCTAAGAGGTCTGCCCAAGGTACATATACACCAATTATCCATGCAATAAAGGCTTGTAGTTTTCAAGGAGTCAAAAAAGAAAAAAGTTGACACGGATAACGACGGGCAATCACTCATATGACAGCGGAGCTAATAAAAGGTTAACCCTGAATTTTGGCCTGCCACGTAACAGTACTATCAACATACTGGCAATATTGACAGTTGTCAAAAATGACAAAATTGCATTTGCTATATTTTTAAAACACAAAGCAGATTATTTGTGATTTGAACACATTATCTGTGCGTCAGCTATGGTAAAAGTTAATGAGAAGAGATGCCAGAATTATATTCTATTTATTGTTGCAATTTCACAGAATTATGTATACAATTTACACAGGATCTCCAATTGTATTTCCAAGTGAACTAAACACAAGAAGTAGGTGATGTGAAAACTAATTACATGTGTATTTGTAAACCATGAATAAAAATGCAATTGCATGGAAGCCAAAAAAATATTGCCTTTGATGACCCACCTGACTGCCTTGTCAGTATAGGTCTTTATTATCGCATTACACATCAATTTTCATGAAATACGACTTCCTATCTTAATGATTTCAATTAAATGTTCACTGATATAAAATTTCCCCTGAGTTACACCTTTATAGTTTCTTTTAATCTCAGCAGTTTCAACTGGGAAATTATGTGTACCGTAGTATACCAGTGTAATATAAGAATGTTACATGTACTACTACAGACAATTGTTAAAGTGCGGTAGTCGTTGCGCTGCGCATGTGCGAGATATATGGGTCTCATATAAACAAAGATGGCCACTTTGACTGTTGCAAAGATCAACGAGTATGAAATGAAACGTTTCCAAGCTTTAATTAGGCAATTTTCATGTTATTGGAAGGCATCGAAGGAGTCACCGGCAGTAATCAGTACAAGTCGCGCCCAGGTCAAACCTCATACTTGTGATTTCCATTTGAAGAGCGCATTAGATTGTGGGAAAATCAATGTTTATCAACACAAATGTCGCACATGCGCAGTGCGACGACTACCAAGCTTTAAGGTTAAAACATTTTTTTTATTAATATTTTTTGTGCCAAACATGTTTCCAGCATCGAATGTTACATTGTCTTAATGTTTTTATTAAAGGTACAAGAGCTGAGGGTACATATAGTGCATTTTATTACAGCAATTACATTATTGTAATTTAATGCCCTATTGCAGAGTCAACCAGGTCCGGTCGAACACAAGCACCTGTAGACTATTATAACAAAGGTTACCGCAAGTCATATCCATCAGTAAATGAATTACGGTTAAGTCGCTGGCACACACTCACCCAGGGTAGGGGTTAACGCTTAGAAGAATTTGGACTACATTTGATAACGAGATCAATGCAGAAACCACTATGTACTGTAGCAGTACTGACTGCCTTCAGAATACCCAAGTCAAAACAGATTACTGTACTGTAAACCGTTTTAATATCACAAGAGACAAATTTAAAAAAAAAAGTTTGCAAGTCTGTGAAAAGTGTGAAATTTTGTTGCAGTGGAAATGGAATGTGAGCGACTTTTGCAAAACTTTGTCTACATGAATTCCATAAAATCGTCAAATAGCAGTGCAAATTAAACGGTTTACATTAGGGTAATATACAGCACTTCTCTAATAAAATTCAACCACAAATTGATTTATTTTATTCTGGAAAATGTTACATAGTTTGACCGCAGACACTGCTCAGTTATTAATATAATTACATGCACTACAAATAGATAAAAACAAAAGTACAAATAACTACTGCAATGAATAGAAAATAATAATGAAAAAAAAATTACCTTCACAATCATATGCAGCTAATCTAAGTAGGCTTTCAGATAAATTAATATCTTTTGTATCTGTAGACTGTATAATGCCAGCAATCAAGTCCTGAGTTAATCCGGGGTTGCCCTTTTCTGCTTTATTGAATGCAGCCCTCAATGTTTGAGCTGCAGATAGATCAGTCTTCTGAAGCTACAAAACACAAAGATTATTATGAAGCACATTGGCAAAGGTAGATAAATCAAAAGTTATTTTGTTTTATTTTATTTTCCAATAATTGTAAATATAATACTGAGCCAAATTCACCATTGAGATATCGAATAAGTGCACACAATACATGCATGTCATCGCATATTGCATAATACGCAAACTGGTGCTGTGTGTATGTGTAGCATGGATATTTTACTCCATGTGTCTTAATTTTGGTTCAGCATTATCATATTCGCCAGCCAAGGTTCATTCATTTGGTCGTTGTCTCATTATGCCAGAAGTTCCACAATAAACCTGTATTCCTTGTCGACATGCTCTGATACATGTTGTACATGCTCTGATACATGGTAAATGGAACACAAAGATGCATATTTCATCAGTTAATCTGATAGGATCTGATAAGATGTTTAAATCTATTGGTTTCAACACAGTCACTCTACTAGGACGGTTAGGAAGCGCCGCGTCATTCTATTGTAACTACCCTCGTCTCTATAAACATTGAAACAAAAGAGGTGTTAACGAGCTAAGAAGTCATTAATATAGCATTAGCGACGGAAAACGTGCAATAAATCATGAGACAGTGCGAGAGTTGCGTCATTTTCCCCCACAAAGCATTGCAATACATGGCACTTTACCCTTTCATCGAAGAGCAGTCTCAAACGCGGAAATAAACATGCTTTGTATATACACGTTTTTCCTCTGAGAAAATCTTGCTGTCTTGTGTGGCATTCTGAAATTATTAATAGTTAATAGAATACTACATTAGTAAATCTCCCAAAAAATTCCCACACAAAAATTAACGTCCGGGTATTTTACCCTGTCTCGACCCTGTCTTGACTGAATCAAAAAGCAGTGCGAACATGCTGAAATAAACCGTTCACAAAAAAATGTTCAAACGAAACTAAATATGACTAGTAGCACCGATACAGCTGAACGGGTTTTGTATCAGTCGTCAAATAAAGCGAATGGAGGGATATGAAAACACAACAATCAACAATTTTCTTTCGTCCGATTACTTCCATTGAAAACCACGCAATAAAGCAACATGACGACCACCTCCATAGACGACGTAAACATGCAAAATTTCGCAGTCTCTATAAGTGACTATAAAAAACACACAAAAATAGCGAGAATGGACAAAGGAATATTGTAAAGGTATGCAGACATCAATGTTTTTAGCAATAAAATTGTTTCTAAACTGAGCGAGGGGTTTATTTTACGGACCGAAAGACTGTTAGAGATCGAGACAAAGAGACTGTCGACAAAACACCGTTTTTCTCAAGTAAAGCATCTTCAAGATTGCAAAAGAACGCTCATCTGTAAAATACAACATCACTCCTAGTCATAGTTCAGTTGAGATTGTAGTTTGATGTAAAAATAAAGCACAATTTCAAAAATTCACAGTCGTCTCGAGCAACATCGAACGCAATGAATAGAAAAATAGCGCCCTCCGATGACAATTACGTCATAGTTTTGAGACCAGCGCAAGTTCTCAGAAGCTGCTCAGTCACACCTTTTAACAATAGCGCAGCTTCCTAACCCTCCTAGTAGAGTGACTGTGGTTTCAAGTTGGAATTGATTTGAGATGTTTTTACATGAATGCCGACTGAGGAATCTGACTCCTTGGCATACACAATCAAATCATTCAATTTAACTGAGGTCAAATACAGCATTTCCTAACACGATCACACACAGGTTTATGGGGACGGTCATAGATGGTCTTCTTCAGCAAAGCTAAACAACATTCAATACACTCTTTTTTATTTTTATCTTGAGTTTTTACTATTAAGTTCTAGCAACAAATTAGAAACTTCAATGGTTACAGTATTGTGTAAGTGTAAGGAGCAAAATATAATGTTATGAGGACAGTGACATGTTTATGGTTGGATAGTATTCAGCCAGGAATTATAGGACACCTGCTAGTGATCAGAACTGTGTGACTGTTTTGACTATATCCATAATGCAACCAACAAAGATATTATGCTATGTTTGGTTAAATCATGCTAAAAGGTTAAATTATACACCAGTCTAGCAATACATGTACCCCCAGAATGCCATCCAAAGAATTGGAGAATTAGAATTTTTATTTACAGTTTTCATAAAATTTATGATAAATCAGCGAAAATTTAATTACTTGCATCAACTTAATTTGTGGTTTTCAGATTCAAGGGAGTTCGGACTTGAATTTAATTTTTCAAACTACTGTGCTGAGAGCACTAGTATACAATTGCATTGGGGTTAAATTCATACTGAATATACATGTAGAAAAAATATTATTATATTAATGTAAATTTTTAAAAGTCAAATATATATACATTTTTTTAGAGGGAAATTTCACAAAACAAACCCAGAATGCAAAAAAAAAAAAAAAAAAAAACGAACAAAAAATACAAGAGGGTTTTTCAAAACGGTTACTTTTAGACTTTCATGCAGCCATAATATCTTATGTTCTGCAAACGTTATTTCAAGTCTGTCCAGCAACGACACCAGTAAAAAATAATTGTTTTAATGCTCTCTAACATTGTAGAACTGTCGCGCCGATAGGTCTAGGTCGCTACCCTGCCATGTACAAACCTCCACAGCTGTCAAGCTGTCAACACGGGAGCATTAATGTAGCTAATAGTTCTGAGAACAAAACAGCCAAATGGTTATCACCAGTCTTAGCATAGTCGATACGCAGCGCATTATCAACGCACAAGGAAGTAAACCGCCGGTCTATGTGTTGACAAGATTTGTTGCCTACGCATACCACTAACACCACATAATATGCAGTGACCCAGAAAGTGAACGATACTCGCTATGGAAACTCTTACCTCGTCTAAAACTGGGAAAATTACTACATGTAGAGGTAGTGATACCACCGATGAAGCGTCGTTGTCGTCCTCCATGGTCATATTTTAAGTTAAAAGTCCGTGGAATATCGCAGATACAGAAATCCCAAAAGTCAGGTGCAAGCTGGGTTTCAAAATAATTAAAAACAAATAAAAATATCCCTCGTCGCCCAATTAATACCCAAACTAATGGACAAGATTAATTATCTAGTCCACTGGGCATTAATCATGTGACAGTTCTTCGGCACAAGTTATTGGTCCGGAGAGTATATTAGCCACAAACTGAACAAACCCCACCAGCCATCGTCGTCGTTCTCGGTTTATCAAAACAAGATGGCGGACAGGGTGGGGCGTAATGGGGTCGAAGGGCAAGGCCTCGTTTTAAAATGACCGCATTCAGTAGTGTGGTATTGAGATTGAGTTTCAGTTGAACCGACGTACTTTCATAGCAACGCATCAAACCTACCAAAATTACACGACTGAACCGGTACAAAATATACAGTTGTTTTAACGGAGAAGCCTGGAGTGACATTGAAAATTTCATAAATTGTCCAATATAATTATAAGTATGTAACAACGCAAAGAATACATTTTGAAAATGGTATGTATTACATTGTAGTTATAATATATGTACCTTTTTATTGTCTAAAATTTTAAATTAGGGTTAATATTTAAACTGTTTCTGTGCATACTATTTTGTCCTTGGGTTAGAAGTTTTGGAGGAGATTATTATAGGCGTGATTTGCGAAGTTCCTGGAGGCTTTTTATTCACGCGGAAAAGATTAGAGGAATTAACTGTTATCTGAGTGGGTGGGCGGTTGCGTTAGACATTTTTGGAGCAGATTATCATAGGCAATGTCACATGATTTGTGAAGTACTTGGGGGACGGACTGTTTTTGTGTGTGTGCTCATGCGTACATAGAGTGGGGTATTAATCAAAGAGCACTCAAGATTATTTAGGCAATTCATAATCCACAAGAAATTTGAACGGGCCAAAACAGTACAGAAATACCCAAACTGGTCCATAAAATCCTCAACCAATTAACCCAAAGCAATACACAGCCCAGCAAAATACATGTATTACATCCATTGACAAAGAAAACTGATAAATAAGAAAACCTGTAATATAGGAAATAATAAAAAAAAATCAAGTATTCGCTACAGGAAGGGGAATTAAAGTTTGCCTTACATAGTCAAACTGTCAATTTAAAGTGACTGTAAATATATTAACATATAGTGAACGCCTGCAAGAGAAATCAGTCACGCGGTCAAGTTGGCAACGCACACACTGTAGTGCCACAGGGATCGGACCACATTCTAGGTATGACATTTTTTGTTCGCTTGAAAAATAATTATATTTGTAAATGATCGGTCTTCATCTTGCTGTGCGTCATTCTCAACGGAGACATGCTTTTACACAACTTTTTAATATCACATACATATCGTCTATTTCACAATGTCGTAGAATATTAAACTAATTGATTCCGTTAGTTGTACTAACAACGTACTATCGGATGTTACAAATCCTGTCACATCGAACTTGGACAACCGCTGAAAACAGATTTGAACTGGCATAACATGCCGAAATCTCGCTTGATATTTTAATTACTACATTCCAAGTATAATTTAGAATTACGTCAAAGTGAGATTCCCAACAACAGTAAACTTGAAAATAAATAAAACAAACAGTGGCATTCTCGACATTGGTAAAATAGAGTCTTCAACTCTTGTACCCGGGCACTTGTATCGGATATCATATAAATGTGCAATGTCTCACCAGGTCCTGGAGGGAAAACCGTTAGCGGCGCATTGATCTTATCAGTCGCTTCAGGTATGATCGCTCCAGGTAATTTCTAATACACTCGGAATGAAATAAAACATATTTCCAACAGAAATGATAATACCGAAAATAATAATAACTGAGAAATAACCCAAAGACAATCAATTAATTAATTATATTTTTTTATGGGAATCACAGAAAATCTTGTTTTCCAAACTAGTCTAGTCTGGGATCCTGCCACAATTTTTTATTACAAAAAAGGTGAAGTCTCAGTCTAAACTGGTTCCATGTCACCAATCCGTACAAAAAGGGTAATCCTTGAGGTCGGAGACAAAAAAGGTAAAGCTGAAATTTATAAGGCCTGTAAGTATTCTTAGTTAGTTTTTTTTATCAGTCGATCAATTAGAGAAGGATTGAAAACAAAGAAGTATAATCAACAATCAAAACTGCTCTACAATATCTTATTTTGGGCAAAATTAATGTGTTATAGATTTGAAGACATAGTGACGCTTAGCGGAAATGATGCCTATTTTTGGGGTTACTGTTTTTCAAACTTCAGTATCTCTATATTGGTTTTGGGCGACACCGCTCCACGAAAATATATGCAATTGGCGCCCTCAATCGATGAACCAACTTTGAAACCCACCAATAATCCCCTCCGTTTTCACATTCCTCTGCGGGGATTTTTATAATATCGCCAAGTAGTGGGATTTCGTGATATTTAACACTGCACCATTTCCAGATTCTTTTAAATTGTTATTAATTACGACTAGGTTAATTATATCGTCATATATACGTACATTGTTGTAAACTTAGAGTCGATCCTTGAAATGATATTTTGCTTATGTAAAGATTTTTGGCGCAGACGCGATGATGGATGTTAACTGTTCACAAACTGGGGCGTATTTTTTACAGACTAGATTTTTGTCATTTGTTAATATTCCAATGGAAGTAGATTGACGATGTTTTTGTTCAAGGTTTCATTTTCAGCAGTCGGCCCGACAAATAGATAGGCTGAATGAAGACCTGCTGCCAAGTCCTTAGGCGAAGGCTGAACAGGCAGACTTCTCTCCAAATTCTTTGATTCGAAAAAGAAACCATTATGGCGACACATGCATATATACATTTCCAATAGAAATACGAAGAGTAATTGTTAGAGCCGTTCCTGCCATCATTCGTGTCAGCTTTTTCAACAGTTACCGTTGAGGGCGACATACACTAACACTAACTGGTATCAGAGACTGGAAATCGTTTTTATACCGTCTATGATACCCCTGCTATAGCTCACTATAAACACCAATACTTCTGGATGTCACGTGACGCTTAGTGTTTCTAGTGAACGAACAGCGATAGCTCCCACCCCGAGTGTTGTGTTTCTCTTTTAGAAGATATCTGGGGGGGGGGGGCACTAAGAAGAAAAACTTACCAACTTGAACGGGTATGCGAGGCACCCCAGGGTTCTAAGAAATTATGTTTCACAATTGGCAAGGGTTTTGACATTTTCAATTCCATTTTCAAAGGTCAATTCCACTAATCAAATGGGTCATATTTTTGCGTGTTGATCTAAATATGTAATATGTGCTGGCAATGATAGGTCTATTTTACCATTTTGAACTAGACTATATGTTATAAGGGGTGGGGTTTTAAGGAAATTGGACTCCCGGACCGTGATTTTCATCAAAAGTTACTAGTGCCTTGGTATACCCGTATATAAATAATACGAGTGACCCCTTCCAGCAGACGATATACCAACTCTGGAACCATATGAACCCAGTTTGTGTGACTGTATATATGGGCATTGTCAATTTCCACCTTCTGGCTTTCTTTACTTCGCACTTTACATGTGTTTGGTCTATTTATGGCAATATTATATCCGGCGCGTGACGACGGAGTATTTTCGAAAACATTCGAAATGTTCACGTGACGAGACGATTGGATATACAAGCTTGTACTGATTGTGAAATTGAAAATTAATGAGCTGGCACATAAAATCACCTCTCCTGATCATTATCGCTTGTTTGATAGCATTATGGGATATACTAGTATAAGACCGAAAAATATGAAAAACCTTGCCTTTGAATGAAGAGGCTGGAAACATAGATAATTAGACATCGCAATATAATAAAAAAAATACCCATATGTGCTTGCCAAGCGTTGTATTTGGCGGGAGTAAGAGATCTATTTCCGTTTTTGACAAACAAAGGAATTATACTTTTGAAATTCTTCATGATGCTTGTGATGGCCATTTCGTTACTTTAACGGCGTGCAAACTCCACTAAATTAAACACGTTTAGGGGAATAATTTTCGGGAGTATATCTAAGTTGTTTCGAACTTAGTCTCTACGTGAATATTTATTATTAGGACAGTTTTACTATCCCTCTGCGGGGATTTTATCGCCAAGTAGTGGGATTTCGTGATATTTATTGTGAATTAACACTGCACCATTTCCAGATTCTTTTAAATTGTTATTAATTACGACTAGGTTAATTATATCGTCATATATACGTACATTGTTGTAAACTTAGAGTAGATCCTTGAAATGATTTTTTGCTTATGTAAAGATTTTTGGCGCAGACGCGATGATGGATGTTAACTGTTCACAAACTGGGGCGTATATTTTACAGACTAGATTTTTGTCATTTGTTAATATTCCAATGGAAGTAGATTGACGATGTTTTTGTTCAAGGTTTCATTTTCAGCAGTCGGCCCGACAAATAGATAGGCTGAATGAAGACCTGCTGCCAAGTCCTTAGGCGAAGGCTGAACAGGCAGACTTCTCTCCAAATTCTTTGATTCGAAAAAGAAACCATTATGGCGACACATGCATATATACATTTCCAATAGAAATACGAAGAGTAATTGTTAGAGCCGTTCCTGCCATCATTCGTGTCAGCTTTTTCAACAGTTACCGTTGAGGGCGACATACACTAACACTAACAGGTATCTGAGACTGGAAATCGTTTTTATACCGTCTATGATACCCCTGCTATAGCCCACTATAAACACCAATACTTCTGGATGTCACGTGACGCTTAGTGTTTCTAGTGAACGAACAGCGATAGCTCCCACCCCGAGTGTTGTGTTTCTCTTTTAGAAGATATCGGGGGGGGGGGGGGCTAAGACTGAAAAATCTTACCAACTTGAACGGGTATGCGAGGCACCCCAGGGTTCTAGAAATTATGTTTCACAATTGGCAAGGGTTTTGACATTTTCAATTCCATTTTCAAAGGTCAATTCCACTCATCAAATGGGTCATATTTTTGCGTGTTGATCTAAATATGTAATATGTGCTGGCAATGATAGGTCTATTTTACCATTTTGAACTAGACTATATGTTATAAGGGGGTGGGTTTTTAAGGAAATTGGACTCCCGGACCGTGATTTTCATCAAAAGTTGGTGCCTTGGTATACCCGTATATAAATAATACGAGTGACCCCCTCCAGCAGACGATATACCAACTCTGGAACCATATGAACCCAGTTTGTGTGACTGTATATATGGGCATTGTCAATTTCCACCATCTGGCTTTCTTTACTTCGCACTTTACATGT